ACAAGCACGAAAGATGCATTTAAGATATAAATGTCCCTTAAGTACTGCTTTAGCTGCACCTCCCAGATTAATGTGTCATAATTTCATAATCGGAAGATCACACTGCCTCATTTCTATTCTGATTTCTTCTTTGATCCATTGCTTATTTAAAAGTGTGCAGCTTAAGAGGCTGTAAATCCTTTTCACCCGGTCCATGTTAGCAGACACGTGTACCATGAGGGGAGAAGCTTACTTATAAACTAATATCCAAGCCTTCCAAGTGTCAGTGACAAAAAGGGGGATGCCCTAGAACCTGCAGGAGGGTGAGGCTCTTTCATAGAGGACTGCTTCAGCCCTAGGAGTGGCCCCCTCATCGAGGGATGCTTCCCCAGCCCTCAGCCTCCTCTTTCCCACTTAGGACAGCCTAGCAGAGTACCCTCCCACTCGCTCCTTGGTGCTGGTGGTCCTTCAAAGTTGAAGGATCACTAAGAATTCATCTCTATTTTCTCCCTAACTCCAACACAGCCAGCAGGGCTCCAAAAACTAACTAGGTTCTTTGGCAGAACCAAGACTGGGATCTAGACTGGGATCACTCCTCAGGCCACTCTTTTGGGTGCCAGCTCCCCATTTCCCCAAATGTCCTTTTCTTTCTTCCTACCCTTTTCCTCTAGAAGCCAGTCTCTGGTCAGTTCAATACCAGCCAGCAGGCATCCACTCAGGGCCTGCTCTGCGTGGGACACTGTGCTGGGCACAAGTGGGGCAGGAGAAGTAGAGTTGGCCTCCAGGACCAGAAAATAGGCTTCTCTTCCCAGCGGACATTCTTTCACAGCCACAGCAGTCCTGGCATCCTCAGAAATGCTCGAAGGCCTAAAGTCTTCCTGTGGTTTATTGATGCACACGCAGAATGCAGTTACAGGAGCAGAGAGGCTGTGGGAAGAGCTTGGGACCGTCCTGGGATAGCCTTCTCATCCCAAGGGGCACAAGCACAGCCACACATCTGTACACATCAGGGCAGTGCTGGAGCCCAAACAACGTCAGGCCTAGGCCCTTTGGACCCAGTGGTATACAAAGAAGGCAGGAGGCAAGTGTGGCTGAGCTTTGTGGCCCTGGGTTTAGGGAGGGCACTGTGGTTTGGTAACAAGCCTCTGACAGGTGCTGAGGGATGCAGGGGGCACATGGACAGGGCTGCATTTCCCACTGACAGACACTCCTCTCCTAAACAGTCCCACAGAGCACAGGGCCTGGAACTGGCTGAGCCACAAGGGACACACTCAGGCCTCTCCAGAGACCAACTCTTCTGTGTCCTTGGCGAAAAGGTACGTTACAGTCAGGAGCTGCACCTGCATGCTGAGTACCCATCACACAGCCTCCAGGTAGACTGTCCCCAGCATCCGGATGACTAGTACTGGGTGAAGGCCCTTGTTGAGGAACGCATTCCTCCTACCAGCAACTCACAAGGCAGCCCATCTGCCGGGACAGGTGGCTTGGGGTTGAAGGAGCCATACGGAGACACAGGCCTGGGTCTGTCCTTCTAAATCCCTTTCTGAATTACAAGGTTGACACCAGAACATCAAGCGTCCCTCTTGGAGGAAGAGGGAACTTGATGGTCACTGAGCCCACCCCTTAGCCTCTGTACCTGCTCTCGAGCACCTCTGTGAGAGAACCTGGGCCCCTTAAGTCCACTTTCCTTGTTTGGGGGAAGTCTTCCTGGGAAGCTCTGCACAGGCCTGATACTGCAGTTAGAGCCCCTTTCCTTTTACTGTGTCTGTTTCTCCGTGGTCAGAAGGGCTAAGAAAGAACCCTGCCACTTTAACCTCCTCCCTCATCCACACTGGGCCACCTGGAACATGAAGGTGGCAGTGGTGACCCAGCAAGCCTGGGTCCCAGCCTCAGGACCACTGGCAGGCGCAGTCAGTGGGCTCCTGCACTGTATAGGGCACCCAGGTGGCGTTGGTGGCGCAGAAGAGCTGCACCGAGCGCCGCTGCAGCCCCACCTCACGGCAGCACTTGCAGAAGCGGGCATAGGTGTTGACGTTGTGGTTGTAGATGCTGGCAGACGGGCACCTCCCATCACAGGACACTAGGTTCACCTGGAGAAGGGCAGGCCAGTGAGACAGCCTGGGGAGGACACCCCCAAAGCCCTTTCCATCCCTGTCTTTGCCCACCCGTGGCTGCCATGTGGGTACCACGCACAGGTGTGTTGCTCCTGCAGTCGTTCTTGCGAATGGTCATGCGGATGGTCACCTTTTTGCAGGAGCGCCCATCCTCCTTACCTGGGGGGACAGAGCAGGTGAGGCCCCTTTGGCCCAGAAGTGCTCCCTGGGGGCAGCAGGATGGGCCAGCCTGGGGCAGTTAGCGTCATGCTGGAGGGTCCCTCTTCCAGGTTAGCACTCATGCATTACTGCCTCTCCCTGCCAGGGGGAAGGACTTTATCCTAGGGCTCCGGACCAAGTCAGGTAGGCAAAGACAGCAGTGTGAGCGCAGGAGACCCTGAGACCAAGAAAGATGCCTGGGATGGCCATCCTGGACTTCTCAGAGACTGCGCTAGGGAACAGGAGGACTGGGGGACACAGAAAGGCTGCCTCCTCACCCAAGCCCCAACCAGAAACTCCATCTCTGGCCCCCGGGCATGGGTTCAGCCTCTCTGAGCTTCAGTTTTCCCACCCCGAGAGCGGTTCCAGCATTGAAACGCTGCAGTTTTCTGAGTGAATAGAAAGCCCAGTCCCTGGTAAGATGCAGGTGTTTCTCTGCCTATGGCACAGAGCTGGGGACTTGCCCATCTCACAGGGGCTCAGGGATGGGAACTGTCTGGCCCACGCTGCCCACAGACAACCGAGAATGAGGCTCACTGTCTCTCACCCCCCTCAGTAATGTGTCCCAACTGCCCCTTGCTCAGGTCTGTCCTGATTCTCTCCCTCCTCGCATCCCTCCCTGGCCCTCCTTGCCTTTTATCTTCAGGGCATTGTCCCTGTCCTGTCAGAGGCCATTCGTGATCACACCGTTCAAGCTAAGCCTAGGGTCTTCCTTTGTACTCCACCTTCCACGTGCTATGAGTTCTTTTTGCACTCTGAATAAATACTCACATTTATACCTCAATATAGATTTATAATTCTGTCCTCTTTTCCTTAATAAAATCACCCCAGTTGCATAAGCCTCAGGCTTCACACAACTCTGTGCCTCTGACCCATGATATAGTTTAGCTGTGCTTCTTTCCCCACTAAAATATCAGCTCTGCAAGGCCTTCTTTGTACTGGATCGTTGCCTGGCACATCATTGGTGCTCAACAAATATTTGCTGGATGCAGGCGCACTCTGTAGCCCAGGAAGCCCATCTCTCCTGGCCTCTGGGCCTCACTACAGAGGGAAAGGGAAACTGAGTTCTGCCCTCTGGGCTGTGTATGGAAACTGGCTGAGAGACAGCAGGAGCAAAGCAGTGGGGCAGCAGTGAATGGGTGCTGCTGAAGCAATTCCCATGCAAGCCCAGGAGGCCGGGCTCACTACCCAGCATGCACTGGGGGCCAAGGGTCTTCACCAGAGCCAGGAAGTAGGGGTCCTCTCCCTCCCTCACCCCAAGAGCTCAGGGCAATCTAGCAGAGGGGACGCTGGTGGAAATAGAAATACAGCTGTCTGATTCAGTCCTTGGAGCTTCCAAGAGAAGTACCTGGGTGGCAGTGGCCACTAACCCCTGGAGGAGAGGTGGAGCTATAGGGGACCACAGGAAACAGAGTCCCCAGGGAACCTGGGGAGAGGGACATGTGTCTCAGGTCACACGGGGGCACAGAGAACATTCAGAGAGCAAAAGGATCAGGGAAACCATTGAAGTCTTGATCCCGGTCTCCTCGTGTGTGTGTGTGTGTGTGTGTGTGTGTGTGTGTGTGTGTGTGTGTGAGATGTGGACTCAAAAGGGCCCCAAGCCCTATAGCCCTCAGGGCAGGGTTGGAGCACCCTAGCAGGAGGGCAGACATGTGAACCAATACTGGGAAGCTCATTGGTCCATTCATACAATGAATGGTTGGGGGCTATAGCTTTGGGGTGCTCAGGTGTCCAGGAGCTAAGTGTGTGGACAGACACACAGAGCTCTCATTCTGACTCACTCTGGGGTCCTGGAGGCCTGAGCCCCACCAGGAGGCACCTCTAAGATTCGGGCTCCTGACCACAAAGGGGAATCGATGTGAGGGACGTCTGGGCTGGGGTCCTTGTCAGGGGCAGGAGCAGCAGAGTGTCTTCTGGTGAGCTACCAACTGCATCCAACAGAAGCAGAGGGCTTGCATTGGGACAAAGATATGAGAGGCCTCTGGCCCTTTGTTACGTCACCAGTGCAGTGAGCCTCATGTCAGGATGTTATCCTTTCCTCTACTCATCCTGGGAGCTTCCTTCAGAGGTGCCAGGCCAGGCCAGGAACCCAGCCTTCTGTCCCTGACATAACACCCTGCCCCCACCAGCACCCCTCACTCTTGGACTTCTACCGTCTTACTCACATGTCCTGCAGCATCCTTCCAAGGAAGGGACCACGGAGCCCCCAACCTAGAGGGAGAGAAGAAGGGGCGGGTGCAGAAAACCCTGTTCCAGGCCAGGAGCCAAGATCCCAGCAATCAGTAAAGAGAGTCTAGGAGTCTTGACTCTGGTCCTCCCATGATGCCCCAGGGCAGGAGCTCTAAGCAGGCCATGGAAGAGCTGGAGGGGTAAGCTGACTGGCCAGACAGCTGGTACTAAGGCTTGCTGCGGCCCTGAGAGGCTGGAGCCTCAGAAAAGATGGTGCAGGGCCTCCCTTCTCCCTATGGCCATTACCACACAACCTCCCTTGCCGACTCCATGCTGGGGAGGAGGTGGATTTAGGAACATTTCATCATCAGTGTTGCCTCCACAGAGGCCAGTGAAGGAGGGGCTTGGCTTGGCCACCGGGGCGCCAGCTCAGCTCTAGGTAAATTGCTCCTTTCCCTTGGGCTTAGTTTTTGTTATGATTTATACCTAAATGTTCCCTAAGAGCCTCAAGCATAGGTGGGGTTTTGGAAGGTGATTAGCTCTTGGGAGCTCACAGCTGACTCCTGCTAGGAGGTGGGATCTGGTTGGGAGAGGTGGCTCACTGCAGCTGAGGCCTGGAACGAACATCTCCCTTCCCAGCTCCTCGCTTCACTCCTGCTGCTTTGTGGCCGCCATGACTCGAGCAGCTTTGCCAGCCAGGCCCTTCCAGCGCCTTCCTGCCTGGGAGCTGGCCAACCGCGGACTAACAGCCTGAGCCAAAGTAACACTTCCTCCTTTGGATTTCAGGTGTTGGGTACTTTGTTCCAGCAATGACGAGGGTGACAGGGACAGTTTTCCATCTCTAAAACTGGGGCAATTATCTCTTAGGACCCTCCTCTCCTATTGTGAGATAGATAAAACACTGGCTGGACTAGTTCTTTGTAAGAAGTTTGTGTGTGTGTGTGTGGGGGGGTGTATTTTGGTATGTGTCTCTATATGAGAGTATGACTGTATGTATATTTGTTGCCTAGGGAAGCGTGAGGAATCATCAAAGGTCCAGAGTTAACCTGTCATTTTATCATTTCAGCAGTGACACCAACTCCTCCAGGGATCCTTTTCCCTGAGGTGTACCTGCAGTGACAGCTGTCCCTGGAGGGAACCACGGGTGGAACCATTTGCCTGTGTGGTACAGGTGTGTGCAAGGGTGCTTGTCTGAGGGCTCTGGGGTGTGCTGATGTGTGTGTGAAGTACCCGAGTGTGTTCGTGGCTCCGTGGGGTGCGTGGGGCATGAGTGGCCAACTGCCTGTGATGGTGTCCACAAGTGTCTGGCCCACGTGTAAGTTCGTGTGCATCAGTGTGTGGATGTGTGAAGAGCGATGTGTGATGTGTGAAGTGCCTAAGCCAAGGACCCTCCTACACCCAGGATCCTGCCCCCGCTTCCACTGTCACCTGCAACCAGCTGATGCCCTTGCTGAGGCCATGTTGTGGGACAAGGGGGCACTGACCTTGGCACACTCAGTCTCGTTGAGTGGGGGGCAGCTGATGGGGGAGCGCACAAGCACGGCACCCAGGGGAGTGCTGCCGCAGTGGTGACGGGCACAGTCTGCGATCCAGGACGCCCCAGGCTGCAGGGCACAGAAGTGAGCACTGGGAGCTTGTGGCCTGGCAGATGGCAGAGCCCAGGGACAGGGCAGCCCAGAACCTGGCATCTGTACAAAACTCTGGCCTGGGAGCCGGAGGGCCTCGGTCCTGGCGTCCCCTTCTGGGACACCTTCCCAGGGAGGCTCAGGGGCTGCTTACCAAGAACAGGGATGTGGTGCCGTTGGGGAAGGTGAAGAGGCAGGACACGTTCCTGCAGGAGCCACAGCAAGCCGCCAGGTCCCGGGGATGCTCGTACTCCTGGTTCTGCAGCCGGGGCGGGACAGCCTGGAGTCATCTGGGTGCACCCCTCCACCCTCCAGCTCTGCACTGTCCACCTGTCTCTGAGGGGCCCACAGCCCGAGAAGGACCCTGCGGGACTCGGATGGAATGTCAGCCTTCTACCTCTGGTGGGCGGGCAGGTTGTCCTTGTCCCCCCACAAAGCCCCCTAGTTGCCAGCATCTAGAGGGAGCAGTCTCATAATTAAGAGGCCAGCTTGGGTTCTAGATAGACCTCAATTTGAGTCTTGGCTCCAGTAGGACTTTTGGCAAATACTAAATCTCATTTTTCTTACCTGAAAGTTGGGGATAATTCTAACACCTTGTATTCAAGCACTTTATTCGGTTTTTACTAGAAGGCAGTCACTGTCCTAGGTACTGGGCTTTACAAGTTGTAGTAACGCAAGCAAAAGGAGAAGGTATTCGGTGGGGGCTTAATAAATGTGTGTCCTCTCTGTCAGATGCCCATGCTTCCCAGGCCGGAAGTTTAATCCTCCCCCTCCCGGCCTCTTCAGTGTTGGTCCTTCCCGCAGAGTGCCCACTGTCTAGCCTTGCCTGGGGAGCTGGGGGAGGCTTAAGGGCCCCCTCCTTTCTGGAGCCCCTAGGGTCCGCCAGGCCAACCCTCTGGACCCCGCTGCATCCCGGCCTGCGCTGCCCCCTACCGCCTGGCAGTGGACGTCGCACAGCACGGAGGTGGTGTTGATCTGGTAGAAGCTGGTGAGTGGGTCCAGCTCGTCCGTGCAGCGGGAGGTGTGGCACACACCATCTGCCGAGAGCTCTACCACCGTCTGGCCGGGCTGCAGCACCCCCAGCTCGCGGCTCAGACACACGGGGGCTTTCACTGGTGGCGAGCAGGGTCATCGTGGTCGGGAGCCCCGCCACGCGCACGCGTGTCCCGCCCGTTCACCTGCTCTGCTCCCCTCGCCCCGACCCACTCACCACACTCGTACTTGGCGCAGCCGCACACGTTCTCCCCGCTGTGCATGAACTTCTGGTCCAGCTGGGACTTCTCCCACTGGCCGACAGAGGCGGTCAGCACCGGGGTGGGGCCCGCGCGCCTTTCTCCCAAGCCTCCCTCCTGGGGGTGCTCTCCGTGCCCTCCCGCCCTCAGAGAGGAACCCGGCCAGCTCCACACCCCTTAGTCTCCACCAGGTTCCGGGAGAAGAGGATAAAGGGAGCGGGTGCTGGCCTTGGGTGAGAGTATGTGCAGCCCAGAAAGTGACCTGACATCACTTTGTGTTTCTTATTTTCCCTTACCCCGTGGCCGTGTAGCTGGGGGTTATGAGCACAGGCTCTGGAATCAGAATCCCTGATCAAATCCTGGCTCTGTGACTTCCTAGTTTCAAGACCTTAACTTTAGCTTTTTGTTTGTGTTATTGAGACAATCACAGAACCAGTCTCTTGGGGTGGCCACGAATACGGTGGTACACAAGAAGGGTCTGGGCAAGCTCTGGGCACATAGTGAGCTCTCAGTCAACATGAGCTGTCACCATGACTACCACCAGCACCACCCGAGTCCCCATCTTCCCCATCCTGACCGACTCTGCACCCTCACTGCAACTCTCAAGCAGGCCTGCTTTACAGGAGGGCACAGTTCCTGGAGAATCAGCAGCAGAGCCTGGGTGAGGATGCTGACTTACAGCACAGGGTGTTCTCTCTCTCTCTCTCTCTCTCTCTCTCTCTCTCTCTCTCCCTCCTTCCCTCCCTCCCTCTCCCACT